AGATAAACCATGATTTGTAGTCGGAATTGAAAAGTAGGGGTTTTGTGAAGAGACAAAAGTACAGACCATATAGAAAGGGAATTATCAACACGAGGTACGTTCTTGATTCCATGAATAGCTGGAAAGTTTGCTTGAAAGCAATATAACAAATTAATTTTACTATTTCTCACCCATTCCATCAAAGGTTTGTTGCACAGCTCCAGTATGCGGAAGATCACCAGTATGAAACAATTCATACAAGAAGCACACCAAAAGGCTGCAGAATACAGCCATTTTAATCACAACTTTCAACACTCAACCAACCAAATGTTTCCAAGTGTAATTTAGTATTACCTAATGCGAGAGAACCAGAAATGTATATCAAATTTGGATTTGTGCAGTAGTTTGCTCCAGTCATCCAAAAATAACCGGTAAGCATGGAATTGATCCACATACTGCCTATATCATATATCCCTAAATGTTTGCAAAAATATCCTCGGTTAAGCGCGATTCCTCTGACGCGAATTCGAATGTTATTGTCTAGTCTAATCATTTCCTATTTTCTTCAGCTCACTTCCTAATGACGTTTCAAGCTAAATGGTTCTGCGAATTTTAGCTGACGTACCTAAAGATATCATGATTTTGTAGCAAGAAAGACGACGATTCTGCTTTCTAGCCATTACGAGAAATTCGAGAAAGTAAGCTATCTGAAGATGACCAATGAAAATATCTGTGTATTGTGGAAACTTGTCGGACCTGCACAATTACTCCGAACAATATGAAAATCGCACCCAGTATACAGTTCTTTGTTCCACTTTCGTGAGACATTCTAAAATACAGATTATATATAAAAATTCAGGCATTTTCAATGACAAAACTAATTTTTCCTTGCCATTGTGCTAGGTCATAAATTACATGGGCGTGTTTGTAGCGTGTCCCGTCTCATCAGACATGAAGTAAGTGTATCAAGTCGAAGCTTGTTTTCGACTTTTAAAGCAGTTCTTGGTCCCCAATTAGTTACGACGTAATTACGATGGCGTTAGAAAATTAGTACCTTTTTACAAAGTAAAAGTACTTTAGTAAGATATATTTGTTGTAACGAATTTCCAGATAATATCTAAGAACATTTTAATTATCCGTGATGAGTGGACGACGGTGTTTACTATAATCTTCCCCCATTTATTGCACTTTTCGTTTTGGCCGCTATACTGCTTATAAAAAGTGCTTAAAGGTTTGTCTTTCATTAGATTTCATCAATTTTTTGATTTGGAATTTTTGTTTTGGAGGAATAGACTTAGACAAATAAAAATGATTTTTCTCAGTCAAATAAACTCCTTGATCGATATTGATGAAACTATTGTAGTTGTCTAATGGGCTAAAAGGATCTGATTAACTCAAAACTCCTGAAGTATGTAATTTGTTTTTTTGACATTTAAGGTCGCGGTATAGACGTAAGGTTGAAAGCTCGTGCCGTTTTTTGTACATATTCACAAGTCCGATAAATAAACATAACGGCTTCGAAAGTATTCGGCGTAAGACTTTCATCAGTAACTACGCTTTTCAAGACAATCGTTAAGATCGCCTGAATGATCATCAAAGTCTCCTGCCTATGTTTTCCTTATCTAGCTCCAGCATTTCTCGAGCTATCTACACACTTTGAAGGAGCTTGACTACCTGTAGATTGAGCGAACTTTTTGCGGTACAGAACTCTCGCACATCAACTTTCTTCGAAAGTGTGATTAAAGAGCTTGCGTGAAATAGAATGTAAACGCTAGAAGAACCCACTTGAGCGTTCTATAGCTGTAGTACAATTGAAACTTAGTTTAGCTAACGAGCGATTAGTGCTGAGGTTTGAAAAAGATTTGAGACGTCTGTGCACTTCTGGATGATGCAAAGAAATATGTCAGAAGCACGAATAGGATTTGCGTCGAATGGCACGTGTATAGCTGACCGTAGATGTTTCATGAGCTATCGAAAGTCCAAAATGAAACTTATTTAGTGCAAAAAAAAACTTTCAGAAATTCTGCCAAGAAAATGTCAGCTAAATCGTTTAAGCAATATTATACCTATTATACCTGCTAATTAATGTAG